CATAAAAGGCTACCAGGTTGGTCAAGCACATTAAATAGCTTTTTTCTTCTACAACAGACACCTAATGGATAGTTTTAAAATGGTTGTGTAGCTATGGCCAATTATAATGGCTTATTGAGAGAATATTTGTTGCTTGTTTTTCTGTCTCTTGTTCTATTATTGTATTTTCAGCTCTTCTTTATCTCCACATTTATCACCCCCCTTTTTTTTTTTGGTCTTCAGTCTGACCTTTGTTATCTTTAGGATTGCCGATAAGTAAATTCACATCATGTTGCTGGTCCTGGTGGTTAATTAAGAGTCACAGTGCAATAAAAGTTAATTCTAAAATTAATTTGACTAGTAATTTAATCTAGTGATTTAGATGCTATTCAGAGTTCTGTAGTTATACAAGAGTGCAGGATCTCTGCGTGCTCCTGTATTATTTACATAAAAGGGGGACTGTTAAGAGAACAAAACAGGCAAGCGTTGGGAGAGTCTGAGGTCCCAGGACTCCAAGTCAGAGACCAGAAGGCATCGCAGACTTTGACAGCCTGCTGTCTGTTCAGAAAGAAACAAAAGGCACTATATATACCTTGTAGACCACTTCAGCTTGAATTCTGAGCAGGCACCTGAGCATCCTTCTTAAAGGTTGTGAAAGGGTGGCTGTATAAGGTCTGCTTAGCCCTAAACCTTGTCTCTGACAGTGGATGCCCAGGAAAATACGACTTTCAACAGGAGTGAGATACCCTTCTTCTTAGCACACTCTGGAATACTGTATATTCATAAGTATTATGGATATCTTTCTCGAGGTATTCCAAACACGCCCTCGTGCAATTCTCCTACTGCTTTTTCACTTACTCTAGTAGTAGCAGAATCACACTTTTTGCTATGCACAGACTAACTGGAGCCTGAATTGGTACAGAAAATAGGCTGGGAAATCATGATAGAGTGGCATCAGAGCATTTCACACAGCCTTATATGCATATGTTAAACTGTTAAAAATCTGTGAATTTATTTGCTCCCTACAACAGTATTCACATTGCAAAAGACAATTAAACTGCTGAGGTGTCTCAGTACTTACTGATGTTTTTACAAGTAACTGGGGACAGATCCTGATAATCTTTTGCACACTGGAGAATGTCTCCAAAAATGTCCTCGTGATTGTCAAATGTGCACTTGCGGAGGCAGCAGTTCTCTTGATGTTGAATTTCATTAGAATCTGGGCCTCGGGATGAAATTTTTTATATGCTGACAGACTTCAGCAGTGCACAGTAGGATGAAGGCCTTACAGAGCCATGCAGCGTAGTTTGTGAATTCTACCCTTTATGCAGTAGCGAAATGTTCTGATAACTCAGAGTCTGCGTTAAGTTACCAAGGTAAAATCCATCGATAATCCTGTCCTGCGCTTTTGTTTGTCCAATGTTACGTTTGAAATGAGGAATCTAAAATCAGCCTCATTTTTAGCTGGAGTTGGTTTTTCCACAGTTCAAACTCACAAACTACATTATTTTTAAACTGTTGCCTACTACATACCAATGAGGAAAATCTGGGTATCGTGTCTTAAACTGCTATGCAAATGATGCTATTTGTAAGTATTAACATAATTTAGTGCTTACAGTCATATTCTCATTCCTAATAATTCTACCAGAATGGAGAGTCTTTTCACTGTACTCTTAGCCTGCAGGATAGTCTTTCATCAAGAAGCTGAATTTTTTAATAACCTGCCAGCATACGTTTTGTACGTGGCAGCCTATGCCGATGACACAATGTCTTCATTATCAAAAGAAGCAGGTCTGTAATAGGACATTAAAGCATGCCTGTGCTCATAAACTAATGCTTTGATGTTTAAATGTGTATCATTACAATGGTATTCCTTAACAAAGGATGATTTTAATCCTCTGCTCTCCATGGTAATACTCAGTGGAGACTGCAATTCATTATATATAAAAAAGGTCTCCCGTTCTACAAAAGAGGGCTAAACTCAGAAGGCAGGAAAATTTGAACACACATATTCAAGCAAGATGTTCAAAATGGCAGCAAGCTTCACACTTTGCCAAAGCCTG